CTGACTTTTCTATCTCCCTTCTGAAACCTTTGCTAAACAGTGAATGATCTTGTTACAGAGTTTCATCAGTGGACTTATCTGTAATCACACAATCTTCTTATAGTAATACTACTGAGTAGACCTTTATGACTCTAAAGCAAAATGATCCAGGCCAGTGTTTCTCGATCTTGGCAACTTTAAGGTGGGTAGACTTCAATTCCCAGAATTCTGGGAGTTGAAGTCCACACATCTTAAAGTTGCCAATGTTGAGAAGTTCTAGACAATGTTCTATCTTTGGTTAGGTAGATGAATTCTATATAAATAATCTTTTTTTTTCTTTGTCCTACCTTTGCAGCCTTCACAAGTCAGGGCATTATAATGGTACCCAGAGGCCTTGTCACCACAGACAACACACAGCTCCTTATCTTTTGTTCTTCCAGAGAATAGACTCATCTGAGACTTCTTGGCTACAGGAATGTCTACCAGGACTGTCTCCTTGGTATGTAAGTTATCAGAGGGCATTTTTCCAAGCTCATACATTACAGGGGAGTACCATTCTTCAGACTGTTGAGGATAAAGACTAAAACCTGAGTAATAAGGTGGTAAAGAGATTGGAGGTTGCGCCGGGCAAAAGTGCATAGTGTTGTACTGTGAGTAGGATGACGCATCAGAATCTTTTGCTGCAGAAATCATGGGATCCGGTTGTATACCTTGATAACAACACAAGATATTTTTCTAAGTCAGTCTTCCAGGAACAGTGACTCTCACTAAAAATAATCATTGTTATTTTTTCTTCTTGAACAGCCTTACGGTGTAATGTTCAATTGTCCTGAGCTGAGCTTGCTTAATGTGATTAGATGGGTCTAATTAGAGTGAGACCTTGGATTTATGATATGTAATGGACACATACTTCATTCAGACCACCCCTTGATTTTACAAACTAAATAGGAAGGTTGCCCTTTACATTGAGGTTTTGCTGCATATGACATGAGTTAGGTCAATTATATGATTACGCAGATTATGCAAATTGATGAAAATGACAGATGTGAATTTAATGGACATTCTCCCCTGATTGATCTGTTAAATTGAGTTTCTACAGTGATTCTACAGCTTACATTTAAAAAAATAAATGTGTTTCCTTTTTCTCATTAACTTCTCTGAATGCCTTTGTCTTACTAATTCTTTTCAGATTTTATGGGTGGGTGTCTGTGGACATGTATATAAACTTTATGCAGGAAGAAGAAGATGTGTATGCCAGATGAAGGGACTATAGTTGCCACACGCATGCCAATTAGTGGTGGGTTGTGGGGGTTGTGGTAGGGGGCTTCTGTGTATAATGGGCAACTGACTCCACTGGGGAACTTCCTCTATACTGCATATGAAACTTTTTCCCAGGATTCAGAAGCCTGATTTTCCACATAGAAGGTGCTCTTTAAAAACAGAAGGGAAAGATGCAATGGAGATAGCTCACTTGTCTCTTCCCCTCCCTAGGGAAGAGACTATTCAGATTCCCAGTCAAAAATCTCTCTCACTCCCTCCCCACACCTACCCCAAAGACATTTACATAGTGGAATAAAAATGGTTGTGTGTGTCCATCTAGTTCTTGATTCTGAATAAAGAGCTGCCAGTTGCTAAAGCTACATGTGTAGGTTTGCAGACAAAACCACATATATTGATAGACTAAAATGTGGTTGGCTTGTACTGTGTGAACAAAGTCAGTGAGCTTGAATATGTTATCCAGCATTTGTAGTGAACCCAGTGCAAACCAGTTATTCTTTTAATTTTTCAGTATAAACATTTTTAGGAACTGTTTTTATAAGTACAATGCTGAAAAATTGAAATTACTATTTACTTATAGTTGTTATTTTTCTTTGCAATGAAGGATGCAACTTGTTCAGTTTATAAAACATTCTGTTTTGCTAAATAATTAGTGTTTTTAGTTCTATCTCTGTCTTCCTTGAATTTGTCTGATACTTTAAAAAGCTATTTAAACTAGTAGCTTTGCTAAGCAAAACATTTCAATAGTTAATTATAAATCTTATATAGTGGCATTACAAAGATTAACAGATGCAAATTATTGCAAGCAGTATCAAGTCAGATTATTTCTGATCTGATCTTGGTAGCCTTTTCCTGTGTGTCTTCCTTTCCCAGATATAATCACAACCAACCAACTGTATTTTAGACTAGAATGTTATGAAAACCAAACTGTATTTAGATTATAATCAATATGTCATATGAACCCATAACATTGGGTTACTTAAGCAAACTATAGTCAAATGAATCATGAGTAAGTTTGTTCTGGAAACACAATAAAGGAGTGCTATTCTTTTGTACAATTATCTGAAATTATTTTTCATTTTCTTTTGTCCTATACTAGGAGGAGTTTTCAGTGGTACAGAACTGAAGGAATATGAGGTTGGTATTTGTCAGGATAGATGTAAATTATAACATCTCTAGTTTTGGGGACAAAAATAACATATTTAAAATCATAAGTCTTCATTACATCATTTGCATACACAGACAAAGAACAGTTTTTAAATGTAAGCCATAGATTACAAAAGAAAGGTTGACTGACTTCTAAAGAACCATTAAATGCTACTAGTTCATTAATTCATTAAGGAGGATTACCTAATAAAGACTAGTTTTACCTAGCTAGTAAGAGAGTTGGATCTGCTTTTTAAATTTAATAAACATTACAGTAATGATAGCAGTATTAGTCATAACGTTATTCACAATCATAATCATGTTATGTTATCAATTCATTCTTATTTTACAGAATTTCATATATATAAGTTTCGATATTATACCTCAGCTTTCCCAAACCAAGTACTGTACATGTTTTAGAATATGTTCAACCTACCTATGTTGATTGGGGTAGGATGACAGTTGTAGTCCAATACGTCTGGAGGACACCAGGATGGAGAAGACTGGTCTACCACAAATCCAGAACAAGAGGAACCAAGATCACCATACTAGAAATTGTTATGTAGGGTAAGAAAAAGCTCGCTAGATCTAAGCTAAATTAATTACACATACAAGAAATAATTGTGTTTTGATGTCTTAGGTAACAAATATCAATGCCTAGACATGGTTTCACTATAGCTACTATAAAATAATCTTATCTAGTATTAAGAACAGCAAATGAACAGTGAGTTGGGATGATATCCTACCTTTTAAGAGCATACCAATTTGACCATTTAAGTAGAGTTCCTGAAAATTTTGTAATATGGTTCTCTTGTGCTTCCTTAACTTTCAAAAACTCTAATCACAAGTGATAAGTAAAACTTCCTCTGAGACCAGCCAAGGAAACAGTAGGGCAGAGGTTACACAGTTTACTTATTAACTTTATTATGAGGAGTAAGTTGAGAAAATAGCTATGACAAATTTCCAGCCCAATTTGATAAAATCTAGAAAATTTGCTTCCAGAAGAAGCACTCATAACTACAGGCTTACTTGCAGTATTATTTCTTATGGATCAGCATGTTTTATATTAAATTATAAAATTTTTGTCTTGCTAAAATAAGCTAGTCATCCAGTATTTTATAATCCACAATGGTAAATCTATATAAAACTTGTTCTGCCACCAAGGCAAGGACAGCTGAAGCCACTACTGAAATTGCTGCAGGAATTGACCAGCTTCACCAAGATGCCCCACTGTAAGGATCGTAACAGCCAGCAAGTCAATATGGCAGTATTGTAATAGCTCTGACTGCCTGACATCAGATTATGTTTTCCTCTTGGATTGGCCAAAGATACTTCTAGCAAAGGACTGCTCTTTACCTCAGGAAATCATGAGGAAATATGTGTTATTCTTTTTATTTTTCCCCAAGATAAAAGATCTACTGGAGAATCGCCTCCATGTTAAAAATATAAATGACTTCATTCAAGCATGTTCATAAGCAAGAGAATTATGGAGGGGGTCACGGGCTTTTCAACATGCCTCCAGTGGGCCAAATGCTTTATGCTATTGCTGGCCATCAGTATGTTCCCGTTGCCAATGAGTTTCTGCACAGTGCAGTCCTGTTACCAGCTGTGCTCCTCTCATCCCGGGGTACAGATTTTGGATCCAAGTTGAGTGATCTGCTGCCCTGTGGGAATCTAACATGTTAGCTGCCTGCCACTGACAAAAGGTGAAGGGGAAATTAATTCCTATCAAAAAGCATCAGACTTCAGAAAAGCATGGTGAGGAGTACTGGAGAGTTACTGATCACCATGGCAAGAATATCTAAAGAAGATTATTACATTTACTAAATACCTTATTTGTAGTAGACTCATAACCAAATAATACTAAAAATATAATATATGAGAGAAAGAAAGAATTACTATTACTTTAACCATTTTACTGTGCATTGTAAAAAAAAAACCCAGTCTCTCACACACACATGCACACACACGTATATATATATAGAAAAAAAAATACAATTGGTATATATATATCTATATATCTATGCTGATTGTATTTTATATACTGTCTCAGAAAATCTTTTATATTCCAAAACATGATGTCATCTGCCCACTGCTTGCAAATTGCCTATCTGTTCTTATCTTTTGGCTAGGTTGATGTGATGCCCTTATATGCTGACAGCTGAAGACAGAGAAGCGGTGACAGACAGACTAAAGGAAGTATTATGTGGAAGATGGAAAGATTAGCAGGTGAGGGGGAAGAGGCAGAGAGCAGAAATAATATAGACATTCTATGAATGTAGAAGAATCACAAGGAAAAATGGTTAACACCCCCTCCCATCTTCTCCAGTGTCAAGACTTCAGTCCAGATCATCATATTCTCTCATCTGGAATATATATTTTTTTAAAAAAAACAACCTACACAAGAGGTTATGAATTTCTCATATGATTTATAGTTTGACTAAATGTTCCCGAACGATGAGGAAAAAGACATTTGGATAGGGCCTAGAAGTAGAATGAGCTGAATGCTGGGAAACAAATGAGTAGTCTGAAGTTAACAGTTGGTTAAAATGTTAGGGAATTTTTAGCATTTCTTTCAATGTTATAAATATTATCTTGCTATTAATGTATTTTCTGATTTACCAAATAAATTAGGACCTTCAGAAAGAGAAAATCCATCTGCTGAAGATAGCTGGGGATGCTTGACTAGGTTCATCTCCGATGCCATAGAATCTTTAATGTGAGATTTGCAATAACTCAAGTAGTGACGAAACCTAACAACAACAAATAATATTAATAATAATAATAACAGCAGCAAATAAAAACAAGTTTGTATATGTCCCAGAACAGCACTCATTTCCCAGAACATATCCAAATACAAAATTAGTGGAACTGTTGTGGTGAATATTAGAATGTCTGAACTGAGACATAATCTAACGTACCGTTCACAGGCTGTGTGCTTATATTTATCTGAAGTTACCAGCATCATGTATATCTACTAATTTAGAGTATATAGAGAGCATAATAATAAATCATAAAATACATTGGCCGGTAACAAAATGTTAGCCAGCATTCCGAAAATAATTCCAAGTAGTCATTATTTCCAAGATAGATAGATAGATAGATAGATAGATAGATAGATAGATAGATAGATAGATAGATAGACAGACAGACAGACAGACAGACAGACAGACAGACAGATAGGTAGATAGGTAGATAGGTAGATAGGTAGATATAGATAGATAGATAGATAGATAGATAGATAGATAGATAGATAGATAGATAGACAGACAGACAGACAGACAGACAGACAGACAGACAGATAGGTAGATAGGTAGATAGGTAGATAGGTAGATAGGTAGATATAGATAGATAGATAGATAGATAGATAGATAGATAGATAGATAGATAGATAGATGTTAAATTCTATGAATATTTACTTGAGAGCCTAATAAATTTAGTGGGTCATTACTATATAAGTATAACATTTCTCTAAAAATTAGTACTGCCTTATTCAAGACTTTTTCAATCTTGCATTCTCTAGCTGTGTATGAACTACAATTCCCAACCTATTGCTATCTTGGAAAAAAATCTGAGAGAAGTAGCTCCCACAAATCTGGGGACAAATGATTGACAGCATACCAGTTTTGCCATGTAGAGCTGTTTTATATTAAAATTATCAAATTAAAACTTAGAGTTGTATTATTACACAATTGTCTGTTAATATGGTTTACATAAGAGACTCCAACTTCCTTGGCACAACTACTTTCCCGATATCTATGCAAACTTTCTATAACTTTCCATGACTTTGTATGACTTTTGGCTTGGAAGAGAGGCTAAGTTCTTGTAGTTGAGTTTGCATGCATTAAACCTGGTTTATTTAACCACTGTTAATTGAATTAATCCCAGTCTGCTGGGTTTATAAACCAAAACCAGATAAGCTACATTATGGCTTAGTGTAATGTGAATCTCACCCATATATCTCAATTCTGTTCATTGAAATTCCTTGAAATGTCAGTCAATACTGTTGGAATATGCAATCAAACTCATATTTTTATCTTTGGGTATAAATATTCAACAATATAAGAATTTTCATTAAAACATTTATTAGATAGGAAATTTCTCCATGAACTACTGTACTTAAGGTGACCCACTATCAATCTTAAATGCACTGAGGATTACAATCATTGGTTCATTTATGTACTGATATTGTACTGCAGCCTCTATTTTCTGCATGATATTGTTTTGTTGCCTGTATTTTTAATTCTATTTTAAAATAAGATAAATCCCACAAGGAACTAGTGAATAAAGAATGCCACTCTCTCAGAGTATTTGCGCATCCAATTAAATCTGTCCCTTTTTTGAATGTCAACCAAAATAATAGCACTGCCAGGTATCAGGGCTGTGGGATAATTATCAGACCAATGCTGGCCCAGAGATTCTATGAAAAATGTAAATACATAAAATACAAATTTTATATTTCCTCTTGAAAGAAAGCATATAATGAACACAATTCAGTAATGATGAAATAGTGATATTAATGTCAAATTCTCACAAGTAATTTTTTTACCCATTGGAGGAAGGGAATAGAAGGATTGGAAGCACCAAGTTGGAAGTGGCTATTATAATAAGGGAAACTCATTCCAACTTTGCCAATAAAATTAATGCCAAAAAGAATATGGAAAAGTGTTTTTATGTTGTTCCATCTTTTTGCCCTAGTGGAATACATATTGCCAGTTATACAAGATCCTGTGTTTGTGAATTCATAGTAGTAATAATTCATTTTTTCTGGGTGTTTTTTTCCCCTTTTATATTAGACACCATGGCAAAATTTTACATTTTGGCATCTGCAACAGAAATATAAAACAAATACACATTTTCATTAGGACACTTGCTAAATTTAATGGAAAAAGTGATCAGAAGCCAATTTGAAAGTTTGAAATTTGATAATCATTATTTAATTAATATTTATACAATCAGCAGTATATTTTGACAATGGGGAAAAACAGTGCTTTGGGAGTTAATCCCCACATGTATTTTTTTTTAAAGAGTTCTTTATCATACACTAAATAAATAATAATGCTGTTTTTCACTTTCTTGCAAATTCTAGTATTAATTCATGTGTAAATCAAAACTTACAACAAGATGAAATGAATGAAATTGCAGAGAAACAATACACTCAAACATGTTACACAGACTATAGGAATTAGTAAATAGCAACTTACACCTGATATCTTGCTCTAGTCTGTTCGTAGAATCAGCAGTTTTGCATCAGCTGAAACTCCTGAACTGAACATTTTTGTTTTGTTTCTTACTATTGCAGGATAAAACGATCACTTTAGCTTACTTCTCTCCTCTTCATTGACTCAATACTGCAGTGGACGAAGATTACTCATTAACAGTTTTTTCTTTCCTGAACTATCTAAACAAGCTTGAAGTACAGGAACTTTATAAAACTGGATACAGCACAATTCCTGGACAGGATATGCTGCTTATTATGATTGGCTGAACATTCTTATGGGGCAGCAACTAAAAAGCATGTTGACAAATGCTAGCTCATGCTTCTTCTGAATGAGACAACCAAAAGGCGTAGGAGATCAAGGCCAAGTGGAATTCCAGATATTGAAAAAGGCAAAAAGGTGCCAGAAGTAAAGCAGCTATGCTTATGCTTATTTAACTCATTTAACCCTGGCCTTAATCTTCTGAAAATTTAAGTAATTTACCACCATAGTGATATTCTGAGCATAAGAATTACCACCAATCTGGGTGCCCTCCAGAAGTGTCAGTCAAAACTTCTACAGTTCCAGTCCACATGGCCACAGCTAAGAAATTTACACATTCAGGTTGCACCAAGATTAAGAGAGCTTTAGTCTAACAAACACCCATCCCACAGTTAGTGAGTGTCTTGAAGAACTACATAATAGTTTAAAAACTATTCCCATATTAAATGTGTGAAACATAGATCATTATCAGAACACCATAAGGCCATGGCTGAATCAAACCAAATATGGATTTAGTCTAAAACATAGTTGCCAATCAGATGTCAATGGGAGGTCAGCAAATAGGACATGAGCATAATAGTACTCTCCTACTAAAAAGAGAACAGAGTGTAAAAGCAGCCAAAATTTCCAGAGAGTAAAATAATAGAGGGATGTTTCAAAATGATAGGAATCATGCCAAAATATATATTTTTAAATGTTATTTTGATATATAATTTTGATTTGTTTGAGTTCTATTTCAATGGATTTCATCTTATCAGTTTAGATATCAGAAAGAAACAGGCTTCAATGCGATCAAGCTAAATTTCCCCCTGCCTGTAGTTCTTGTCTTCCTACATCCTAACAGTTCTTTTTGTGTTTGTGTGTGTGTTCCACACACAAACTGGTATTGAGAATGAGTGATCTTAATAGGTAGAGCTATTTCCTCAGAAATCTATACAGTTCATAATTTTATGAATGAAATCAATGCACCCACAAACACACACACTATCCATTAACTTTTAAAAGAAATAGCTGTTTTGATCACTTCAGACGGTGTATACTATAAATTACTGATCTCATCATATTCTTTCTTTCCTTGTTCAGTATCTTGATCAGCTACTTCTCAGAGTTTCTATGAGTTTTTCATCTTCCCAATGCTGTACACATGATCAAAATGTACATTTGCAAGACATTCTGTGTGCGATCTAATCTATAATTTATGAATAATTATTAGGAATTAAATATGACTGTGTAATTTTACATTAAAATGTAAAAGATACTATTGTGCAGAATGTTGGCTTGGCCTTCAAGGACAGAAATGTTTATGACTTTTTAAAAATAAGTGTAACATAAAATCTCTTTTAAACGTTTACTGTATATGCTTATTTTATCCATTTAATCATTTACTTAACTATTGCTTCATCTCGTCAGTACTTAGGCCTTTAAAGTCAACAGATAATAATGTGAAATAAATAAAACCTTTGTCACCCACTGCTACATAAGATTTTACGTAACTCCCCTAAAAATAAGAAACCTTTGAACAGCCTGCTAGTAATATACATTGTACCACAAAGCAAGTAATCAAGTCTGATTTGGAAAATTAGTGCTATTTACAGAAATTGGCCAGATATTCAAGCCTCTTATGAAGGGATTTGTTTAATTCTGTATTTTGTCATCGTTACTAGTATTGTCCACTACACGACCTTCTACTGCCTCTTTCCAATTTTAATAGTTGTGTGATGTTATCTTTGTTTTTTTCTGTGCTGTTTGATTAATTTCAATTTTACTCATATTGTCTATTGACTTGATAATGCACATCTAGTATTTTCTCTGGAGTATTCTAGTCCCATGCCTTTGTTTGATTACTTAGTCCTTTTCTGTATCTGTTTCGTCATAATCACTTCTTTGGGCATTCTGTTCTCAGCAGGCAACCCCCCAAAAGATGCAGTGGTGTTTGCCAGCTTGATGGCTTGATGTTGTTAAACTAACAATTTTTTACATCAGTCTATTAGGAGACTCAAGGCACATTATGAAAGTGACATGGAAAAGAGGAATTTCAAACATTTAGTTCTATTATGAGGGCAGAATAATCCTACCATAATTGCATTCAGTTTATAGTGAAACAAAACTGAACAGTGGTTTTAGTGATTGGGATTACAATGGGGACAATGGGTTAAAGCATAGGTACAAATTTCCAGTGCTGCTTGCTTGCTTATTTATTCATTTATTTATTTAAAAACATTTGTATAGTTGTTCATCTTAAAACCAACTCTGGGCAGCTTACTACCAGTAAAACAATATATACAATCATAAAACCACCAATGATAAAACTAAAAAAAATTGGAAAAACCATATAGCATACAGCCCCCAGCATTCCTTTGGCCATTTACAAGAGACTTTCCAGTGTGAATGGACCCAAATTTTTACCCTTCCACTTCAGGGAGGAGGAGAATTAAGGAGACATGGATGTCTTAAGCTCCTTAACTCTCACTGTCAGATCAAGAGATTGGGTCTGTTGTACATTGGTATGGCTTCCAAGGCCAAATATCCCTGGATAATTGAACGTGGCATTATGAAGGGCAGGACACAAGCCCCTTTAGTCAAAGATTATCTGGATAAAGGCCCTAATGAAGAAGAGAAAAATCTGCATAGAGAAGGTCAGTGATAGAACAGGAAATATATAAATCTTTACTTCAGAGGGAGTTGTTCTGGATATACAGAACAATCTCTGATCTCATTTGGTCTGAATAAAGACCTTGACAGGTATTCCATTCATATAATTCAGCCTTAGTTTAACAAATTCTGAACTGTTCTTTTGTAATCTTATCCACCTTAAATCATACTGTGCTCTAAGTACTCGTAGTAGCTTTTACTCTGTTAACTTAGTTCAGGTGATTGTACTCTTTTTATTCATTTTCTTAATGATATTTGATACATTTGTATTTATATTGTTGACAGTGCTGGATGTATTAACTGGAGTAAGGTGAGTCCTGGAGTTATTTGTAACATATTTAACAGTCTGTTAAACTGAGATTTCAGTCATATTAACTGTGTTGGTGAAGAGTTAAGAGTTGAGGCTACTGAGAAGATATTTGAAATACATCTGGCCAAGTTTCTTTCAGCATTTTGAAACCCCTTTTCATTTTCTTCACACTACATTCTGTTACTCCCTGCTAAGAGGTCAGAAATTTTACCAGAACATATTTCATTCATGGATTGTTGCAGACAATTTTGAGGGCCGGGCAGCTGATTAGCAGACATTAATATTATCGTTTAACGCTTGCATGCTAGAGCTCACTGTTGAATGTTTGTGGTTAAGCTGCAAGAGGAGGATAACAATGAAAGGTTCGGTTGTGGGTACTTTGGAAGGAGGGTGCTCTGTGGAGGGGAAGTTAAGATTTTAAAATGTTCAAAAACCACAGTTGTGAGATCACCGGCTGACCTAGTTGTAACCTAAAACGCACACCCATAAGGTGGAGATTTTAGAAAACATAGAACATGCTAAGCTCATTATGGGATATTAGTATGTAACATGGAACCAAGTACACTTGTGTGACAATGTGACAAAATGTAACCAATTATATTTTTCCTTTACCTACTTCCTCATTCATGAAATGTATAAAATTTGACAGAAAGCTTGACTCAAGGTCCCTCTTCTTTGAGAGATGAGAACCTCTTTGCTGAAGTGCTTTGATAAAGTGACCAAGAGAGACTTCCCCTGACTCGGTGTGTCTGATTGGTGTTACGTACCGGGTAAACGAATCTGCCAGCCTTTGCAGCCAACATTTACCTCTCGAGATTGTAGATGCTACATTTCAGTTAGACATTTTATGTGTCCTTATATTTTTGTAACAGTATTAATTCTTGAGTAATCTTTCTATAGTAAATAATTTATTATATGTTCACATTGCAGCTCAACTGATTGTTGCTTTGCCTTATCTCCATTATTTTCTCTCCTGAAGTCTGGAACAAGAAAGAAAAGGTTTTGATCCTCTTATATTTGATATCCTTTTAGATATTTTAAGAGTGGTATCATGTGATCTTTTCTTAAGGCTAAACATGCCCATCTCTTTCATTTTCATTTCATTCTTCATAGGGGTGCTTCTAGTTCCCTGATCATTCTCACTGCCCTGCCTTTCTCTGAACCTGTACCAATTTTGCTCACTCCTTACAATTTGGTGCTGAAGGGTTGAGAGGCCCCCAGGTGGGTCTGATCAGTGCAGAATACTTGCAGTGGAATTATTACTTCTTGCAGTTTGGAAATTGTCTTTACATTGATGCAATCTAAAATTGGATTTGATTATTTTGCAATCACATCACAGTGCTGGCTCATGTTCAGATTGCAAAAAATGGTTATATCCCCCATTTCTGATTCTTCCAAAGCTTTCAGTTTGTATTATTTGTAGGGACATCATTTGGTTTATAAAATCTAAAATCTTATTTTAGAAGGCCATTATTATGGATGCATTTTGAAGGAAATAAGAGGCTCAATCCTGTCACAGGAAGTTTATAAAGGTAAGCCAGAAAACACAAGGAAAATGGAAAAGTTGTCTTTAAAGCTCTTCTGGGTGACTCAGATGACTGCGTCCACATAGTTTTCTTGGCAGAGTTGGAGAAGTAGTTCTGGAATGTTTTTGGCTTCCCAGTTTAGTCTATAGCACTGGGATTTCCCGATAGTTTTCCATCCAAATCCAACCCTGCTTAGCCTTTTGAGCAGAGCCAAGATCACCTGGGTTCTGCCACCTGCTGTGAACCTATTATAGTGAGAACTTAGCACATTTTAATTCTGAATGCTTTTCTTCAATTAAAAAAAGGTTTTTTTCTTTAAAAAAAAGAACATAAGGAAGCATCTTCCAATTTGTCTATTATATAGGATCAGGTCATTGATGGTATCTTTCACCATAGCACAGAAGAGGGCCCCTTCACCTCCCTAAACAGGAGATAT